TCGACTGCGAAGATGAAGAGGTAATTCTATCAAAAAAGGTCAAAACAGTAGACACGTTTTTCGTAAAAGAACTTTCTATGGAAAAAATAGTATATGGTTGCTAAAGATGGCTTTACATTTAATAGTTTTTGCACATCTTCAGATTTGCGGTATTTGTTTTCAAAGAGTGGTTTCCGGCTCCCTACTTCACCTAATACTATAAGATCGATGGTAGTAAAATTCTCAGATTCTGTAAAAGCCGATATAATGCAAAAATGTATATCACTAAAAAAGCAAAATCAAAAGTTTTCAATAACGTTTGACGAATGGACATTACAAAATAGTCAGAGATACCTTAACTTAAATGTACATATGGAGGCAAAACACTTTAATCTTGGATTGATTCGAATCCATGGATCGTGTAATGCAGAGTATTGCGTCAAGTTAGTTGCAGGAAGGCTAAATAGCTTCAATATCGACCTCAAAAAAGACATTATCGCCATGATCACTGATGGAGCAAGTGTGATGGTGAAAGTCGGTAAAATGATGTTTTGCTATCATCAACTATGTTATGCTCATGGAATACAACTTGCAGTTATTGATATCTTATACAAGAAAAACAACGGAGAAGTCGAAGAATCGTTTACTACAAATGAAAACTGCGAAGAAGAAGATGAACATGAGAACACTGATGATGATGAAGTTATAAATAAAGAATGTAGTTTGACAATAATTTTGGACCGACCATCTGCTGAATTGGTTAGCAATTACAAAGATCTCATGAAAAAAGTGAGAAAGGTTGTGAAAATATTTAAAAACTCTCCTGTCAAAAATGATACATATTTACAGAAGTATATCCTACATGAACACGGCAAAAAGCTTAAGTTGATTTTTGATTGTAAAACTAGGTGGAACAGTATGTTTGATATGTTAGAAAGATTTCATAGACTAAAAGTGTGTATTGAAAAAGCCTTAATTGATGTTGGGTCAGAAATTCATTTGACCTAAGAAGAATGGTCCAAAATTAATGACTTAATTATTTGTCTGGCACCGCTAAAACTTGGTCTCGAACTATTATGCAGGAGAGAATCGAACCTTGTCACTGTGGAAACAACCTTTAAATTTATGTTAGATAAATTACAAAAGCAATCATCACTTTTGAGCATTGATTTAGCCGCGGCACTTCGTGAGAGGTTTACACAACGTAGTAGTAAGAATTTAAATGGACTAAATATATTGACAAATAAAATATTGACAAGAGTTTATACAATTGAAAGAAATAAAGACAAAGAAAATAAACTCGAAAAAAAAGAAGCTGTAGATTCTATTAACAATTCCCAAATACTTAGTCCTATAATTCTATCACTGAAAAAAGAATTGGAAAATCATATACAGAAAGACAAGAAAAGATGGACAGAAAATGTAAAGGAGAAACCAAATTTAGATTCTTTAGACTTTGATAAATTATTGAAGCAGGAAATAAGTAAGAGGCAAGTTTCTAGATATAGCTCATAATTACTTGATGACCATATCACCAACAAGCGTAGAGGCCGAGCGAGCTTTTTCAGCTGCTGGCTATATACACAGTCCTTTGAGGAGTAGATTATGTAATGATACTTTAAGTAGGGTCTGTTTGTTAAGAGCGCATTTCTTACAATGATACTTTCTCATACTTATTTTTAAAAATAAGTAAAGCTATAAGACGCTCTACGTAAAGCTAAAAGACGTTTTACGTATTTTTATCTTATCTTTTTGTTCATTAAATTAAGAATTATATTGATTTACGAGAATTATATTGATTACCTTATCTTATCAATTTAATAAATTGAGTATATTTTTTCTGAAACAAATGAAAGAAAAATACAATTATCATTTTGCCCTTTATAACGTGCATAAGAAATCTACCAATTTATGTGCGGGATCCGCACATAAATTAAAAAATCCGCGCGATTAAAAAGTTTGCGGGATTGGAATCCCTACCCACATATCATTGATTTATATTTCTCTTAGATTTGTCTGCAAACACGAGGGAACTTTTTTTCGCTGATGTATTATTGAAATTATTTGTATAAATTAATGTACCATAATATTAAAATTATAATACAACATGCATATAATACAATACATGCATATAATACAAATTATAATACAACATGCATATTTAAATAAATTAAAAATAGTAGCGGGCTGAGAGCTGATCTTTGAGGCACTCCGAACAGAACATTCATTATTAAGGTGGTAGACCACTATTAAAAATCAAAAAAATCGTTTTTTCAGTTTTAAAGTTTTTAAGTAATATAATTATTGTAGATTAGGAATTTCGAATTTTATATAAAATTAAAGCTAACCCTATTAAAAACCAATTTTTAATAATGCGGTAAAGTATTTTTTAAAATTTTTCCATAGCAACGGATTGTTTATTCCGTTGCTATGTAGCTAAAAAGCAAGTTATCTTTCAAAATACCATAAAAATTCATAAAAAAACTATATGTGTAGCAACTGCTACTCTAAAACTACTTTTTGTTTAATAATAAATGTTTTTGGTGCTGTATGTTACATGGTTATTAACGGATTTCTTCACTATATGTCTAATTACTTAACAACAACCACATCAATCTTTGGCTTATTCTCTGTGTTCTTACCTTGGATCATACCTTGGTTAAATAATTATTAAAATAATGGGAAATAAAGATAAAACAAATAAAATAAGGTATAGCAAAAAACATAGATTTTTCAGAGGAAACCAACATAAAACATCAAATATTGTAGCTGAAGAAAATCTATCTAATTTACAAGGATTACAATTCAAATGTAGCTCAGCAAAAAAAATGAACATAATGTCATCGAGTTCTAGTAGTAAATCTTCTGTAGATATTGTAAATAGTAATTTTGTAAATAAAAATAATTTTTCTGCTGATGGTGATTAGTACAATGACTGCTATATTTTTATGAACACTAACATTTTAGAAAAAATAATAACTACCATTGGCTGCTGTCCAAAATGTTCTGCAAATGTTACTTTTAACCATGATGCTAAACTTAAAAAAGGTTTATCACACTGTATATTTATTTCATGTGGATCTTGCCAATGGAAACAAAAATTTTATGCAAGTAAAACTTTAAGCAAACTAGTAACAACCGGTCCAAAAACTTTTGACATTAATTTAAGAATTATATTAGCTTTTCGAGAAATAGGTAAAGGATACTCTAGTATAAAAAAAATTCTGCGGTTTAATGAATATGCCTGATCCTATGAACAAATCTTCTTTTAACTCATTAAGTGAAGAAGTTGCCAACTCTTACAATTACATTGCCGAAGCCAGCATGAATGCTAAAGAAGTAAGAATAATTAGTTTGAAAAAAAATTATGATTGTACAGTAGTTGATAAGGAAATTTCAGGGGACGGAGCTTGGCAAAAGAGAGGATACTCATCACTAAATGGATTTATTACTATAATAAGCAAAACAAATGGAAAATGTATAGATTATCGCATACTTTCTAAGAAGTGCAAATCTTGTGAGTAATGGAATGCACACCAAGATTCACCAAAATATATGGCGTTTAAAGACAATCATGTTTGCTCGATTGATCACAATGGATCGGCTGGATTAATGGTATTATTAGAGTTTTTGAAAAACTTTATTTAAAACCAGGACACTATTCTTCAAGTTTTTTTGCATCTTCTGATTTGAAAAGAGTTAAAAATATGAAAAAAAAATGTAAAAAAAAAACAAAAAGCAGGCGAAAGCAGTTACGGAGTATTCGTAAAGGATTTTTGGACAAAGATGAGGAAGAAGAGAGTTTATGTTATGGTGCAGGAGAATTTTAATATATATTTACTTTTTGTTTATTTATTACAAACAGATATTTACATTAAGTTGGTAAGAGTAAAAATTGAAACTAAATTGCAAATAAAAAGAATTTTTTTTCTTTTTCAAATTGAAGTATTACTTGGATAATATTATTGTTTTATAATACTATCACTTTTTTCAAAAAATTTTATTTTAATTTTGCTTTAGTTTTACTCCACAACACTTTTATAATAAAATAATATTTGTTTGTAGGCTTTTTTTCTGTGTTTTTTATTTTTATTTGAAGAATTTTATGGTTTTTTGTGTTTAAATGTGTTTTTCTCAGTTCTTTAAAATTCACGACTCTGCGGTAAATATCTCTTTATTTTCTCAACAAATTTCTATGAAATTTTCAGGAGTTGTTCCTATTGTTATTACAGATGTCCCCTACCTCTTTTATTGCATTATGATAATTAGATAAAAAGATATTTAAGTCCTAATATGGTCAAAAATGCCTCTTTTTTTGTTTTTGAAGTGTTTTTCTTATTTAAAAAAAACTGGTCGATGTTTTTTTTTCGTTTTGGTACAGGATCTTCTTTAATATGTTATAAGCATGTCTGAAAAATTTCAAGTTGATACCATGAATAGTTTTTGAGATATTTACCGCAACGAAATGACCCTATTTTGGGGTTTCCGGGACCAAAATTTCTCAAACCGGTTAATCAAAAAAAAAAAAAAAAAAAGATTTGTGATTAAAATGTGAATTTTAATTAACTTATAAAAAAATAATTTGTAAAATATAATTTTTGAAGGATTTTATTTTAATAGTGGTCTACCACCTTAATTAAATTAATATATTGCATATATTGATTTTTAGTTAGTAGATAGCTTTCAACCCAACGACAGAATTTATTACCTCGTAAATTTTTAAAAGAATACTTAAATCAACAGTGTCAATTGCCTTAAAAAATCTTTGCAAATAAATCGATACACGAGGAAATTTAGTCCATAGAATAAGTCCTCCACGAGGAAGTTTAGCAACCAGCAGAACATTTTAAAATCATTACAATAACACCCAACCCTCTATTATTTATTCGTATTAAATTACAAAAACCATTGTAAAAACGCCTGTAACTATGACAAATATTTCAACGCCTTATACTGGTTTCCAAATATTTGTCTTGTCGCAAATATACTAATACCTACGGTGAGTTATTCACAAGACATTATCCTGTTAGCATAATTTTTTTTTGTTAACAAATCACTACGTAAATATTAAGTCATTATTTTCATAAAAAAATCTGTTAAGAAGCACATAAACTTGCTAGTAGCTCTTGTGCCTGATGAAAGCGAGAATTGTTCCGTAACGTATACTTGAAAACTTAAGAATAACATTTAAAATATTCATGTAATAAAAATATTGAAGTTATTTTTAAGGCGATATTCTTCGGGAATTGTTCTTTAATCATAGTTTTCACCAAACTTTCTCCTCGTTAGTTAATTTATTTCTGCTACTTGTAACGATCACGACTTCTGCTACGCTTTCTTGATGACTTATGACGACTTGGGGATTTTTCTCTGGAACTACGGCGCTCTTTCGCAGACCTATGATCTTTATGATCTTTAGAGGACCTTTTATCCGATCTATCGCTATCGCGACGTTCACTGTGATGTTCTCTGCTATGGCGTTGATCTTTATCTTTTCGTTCTTGACTCGAGGTTCGCGTTTTGTCACTACTTCTACGAGGAGATTTTTCATCTCTCCTTTTACGAGCATGCTTTTCTGCTTCTCCAAAACTTGGATCAGCTTTCTCATCAGTTTGCGACGAGCGACGCTCTCTAGATGATTCTTTATTTTCGTCAGCATATACTTTCCGATCGTCGCATAAATTTATAGCTCTAAGACTAGCTTCAATCTCCTTATGAATCGGAACTGGTATTCTTGGAAATAGCGTACCATACCAATCCAGCTTTAATAAAAAGCTTCGAACAAGCTGACCAATCGTCATTGAACAACCGCCACCTAATAAAAAAACATTAAATTATGTTTAATAATTGAAGCGGCAACAGGATTAAAAAATTAGAATTTAATAAACTAAAAAGTAATTTTACGTGATAAGCCCATGTAACCAATTTAATAAACATATAAAAACAAGTTGCCGTAAAAAATAAAAATAAATAAGTTATTATAAAAATGATCCAAAAAGTAAAGACTTCTGTAAAACAAAATAAACTTAAAATCCCTAAAGATCTTTTCTTATAATGATTTTTAGTTTTGATAGTTTAAGTTAGAAATTTCAACATTTAACTATTAGGGGGAATCCATAAAGTACGTACGCACTGATTTAAGATCCCCATCCCCCTTGTACAAACCTGTACGCTTTTCAAAGACCCCCTTCCTCCGCGTACGTACGCATTATTATTTTTTTCAAAATTAACTTGATTTCTTTTTTCTCTCCTGATTACTTATAAAGAAATAAAATAAAAAAATTGTGACTGAAGTCAAAAAAAAAACAACTCTGATTTGTTACACACGTGAAATTGAATTTAAAAAAAATTGTTTTAAAAAAAAAAAAAGGAAAAACCTTACATATTGGTTACATTTGGTCCTGAGAAAACATCTAAACAATTTTTGTTTCGAGCCCTGTTTGTTCCAATATAGTTCAAAATGAATTTATGAAATACAATTATCTCAGGCAATGCCTGGTTTATCCAATTTTGTTCAAAATTATTGACTTGTAAATTCATGTTTTTTGGAGGTAAAATGAAGATTGTTGCCCAAAATCCTGAATAAAAAGTTTAATTGTATTACATTATTTTATCTTAGGTCTACAGAAAAAAATTAGATTCATCAATTAGTCTAATTAAATTCAATCGATTAGTCTCTCTAATACTTGATCAAAATTTTTATAAAAACTTAAATTTTGTAACGAAAGCAATTGAAACGTTTTTTAAAACATTTATTTGAATAAAACATCAAATAGTTTTATTTATTGACTAGTTTAGAACGTCTAGAGTCATAGAGGAATAGAGGGCCAGGGGGCCTCTGACCAACTCTGCCCTCCCCCCTCCGAATCACCCTGGTTTGTTTTTTATGCATTAAATGATGTAATAATAAACAATTATGAAATTCAATTTAAAAACATAATTTTTTTTTAGTTTGAGAAACAATTTTTTTTCTTCATTATTTACCCCTTATTTCAAAGTAAACACTTAAAACTAAGATCCTTTTGAGATTTTAAAAATCATAAATTTTAAAACCAAAAATATTAAAATGTTTTTAATATTTTAACAATAATAAAACATTTTAACAACCAATATCTTTATGGTATTATTTAGTAGATTAATACTAATATAGTCATTGACATAATAAGGTGGACAGTGGGATTTATTAAAGTCCCCTCTTTCTCAGACTTTCATCCAAAGATTTGAAAAAAAGAAAGACAAATTCTAAATGCAAAATAGGAAAATAAATTTACAACAAAATTAATTTAAATGTATTTAATTTTTTTTTCTTCTAACCAACGACTTATATTCTCCAAATCTAAATTAGATATGTTGTATGTATGACCTGATATTGTTGTGGGTGTGGAAATTAGGCATATAACTTCAGAATTTAGCACCCAACACTCGTCATTTCTTATTGGCCAAAAGAAGCTTTTACTGGTCCATGTGGGTGCATGAATCTGACTTTTATATCAAGCTCACTTACATCTTCAGCAATCCCTACCCACCAAAATTTGTCATAAAAACATGGAATAATTTTTTAATGTTTTTTTTAATGTTCAATGAAATCTCTTTATTATGTTCGCTTTTTGGAATGATATCAAATATTTCAATACATGTATCAATACTTGTTTTTTTTTTTTTATAACTTATAGTGTTTGAAACAACTGGAATAAAATGATGATACGTCTTTGTGCCAGGAACTGTTCTTCCACCTAAATATCTTTTTTCTAATTGTGCTTGTGTTTTGTCGATTTTATCTTTAGAAAATAATTTAAAACAAATTCCATTTACCTTGGCTTTACAAGAGGAGTACATTAAATTAACACCCAAAATCTGCCCAGTAGTTGTTTGTTTTAGAAATTTCTATGAAATTTTCAGGAGTTGTTCCTATTGTTGTTACAGATGTCCCCTACCTCTTTTATTGCATTATGATAATTAGATAAAAAGATATTTAAGTCCTAATATGGTCAAAAATGCCTCTTTTTTTGTTTTTGAAGTGTTTTTCTTATTTAAAAAAAACTGGTCGATGTTTTTTTTTCGTTTTGGTACAGGATCTTCTTTAATATGTTATAAGCATGTCTGAAAAATTTCAAGTTGATACCATGAATAGTTTAAAAACAAATTCCATTTACCTTGGCTTTACAAGAGGAGTACATTAAATTAACACCCAAAATCTGCCCAGTAGTTGTTTGTTTTAGACTTTCTTGTCATACTACTCTTTGAACACTCCCACCAATATTATCACAGGGGGATTTACCATGACTGGTAGCTAAAAATACTCATTCACTTTTAAATCAAAGTTTTTACTGTGATGACAAAGATTGATAAAGTTTTTTAAATTTTTAAATTGTGCTGCACAACATTTCGAAAAGTATTTCACACTTGATACATCAGATAGATTTTCTTTGATATATCTAGTTATATCTTCCTGAGTCTTGTAAATAAATCCTGTGTCATGATCAACATCTTCTGAAAGGTAACAAAAAGATTTGTGTTTGAAAACTTTTTTCTCTAAAAAATAAAGTACAATTCTAAAAAGTGAACATTGACTTTTACTCCAGTGATAACTTTGAACCTCATCCTGAACAAAATATTGATCATTTTCAGCAAAATCTGCTAAAATTAGGCATTCGTTTTGGTTAAGATTTTTTTTACAGTTTTTCAAGTATCTACTTTGTGTTTTTGCAATATATGAATGAGTGGTAAAGTTGTAAATGTTGTCACATAATAAATCATTAAAATCTAGTGGCAATGATTGTAATAGTAGTGTTGTACCATTGGTACTCTACCATTGATTGAATGCTACATCTTCTTCCAGCTTATGATCCATAAACTCCTGCACTAAAAAACTTTTTAATGCTTCAATACGAGGGCATTGGTTACATTGATGCAACATACATTCTGCATTTTCAAATGAACAAACAATCAATTCCATGAAATCTTTATAACTTTTATTCCACCTAATGGCATCAATGAGAAATTTTGTATTTTGGTGATGTAGGCATACACATACATTATGAGTACCTGACGCATTAGTTGTAATACACCATTTAGGTTTTAGAGTACAAAACTTTGAGAAACTGACTTTTTACATTAGGGTAGTCTTTTTTAAATGCAACATGTAATTCATTAAGATTGAGTAGCAATAATCTTTTTTGAACATGTTGGTTTTTCTTAATACTTACAAAATCTCTTTTTCCTGGTATCATTCTAGAAAATTGATCACTTTGATAAAAGTTAATCACTAAATTAACTGTTTCTGGTGAAAGTGGGTTTCCAGTTTTTTTTTCTTCGGGCAATGATAGAATTCCGTGCTCATTTTTAACTTTTCTTGTAGTTTGCAGTTATCAAAAGGATTGCAACACTTTGTAACTTTTTTCTCAAAATATTTTCAATAGAATTGCTCATGATAACAACATATAATTCTTATTGAACAATATTTTTCTTTTAAATTTGCTTGCCATATTATTTCTACTTGTTTTTCAAAAAAAAGATCTTTGAATTGAACAAAACCTTGTTTTCTAGAAAATTCAGTTTTGTGGCAATGAATGTTAAGACTCTTCCCAATGTCACATTTCTTCATATTAAATATGTATATTATTTTATGATATTACCTGCCAAAAAATACAAAAACAATAAAATTCACAGTCATTCTTTAAGAAAATACAAACAAGTGCAAAACAAGAAAACAGAACATTTGCTTGTTTTTGATATAATAAGAGGTAAGCATTCACCGATTTGAATTGAAATAATGAAAAAAAGTGTTTTTCAAACTTTAACTAAAAAAAAAAATTATGTTTTCTAAATTGAATTTTAATAATTATTTATTATTATATCATTTAATGCATAAAAAAAATAAAAAAATTAAAAAAATCCAGGGAGATTGGGAGGGGGGAGAGCAGAGTTGGTCAGAGGTCCCCTGGCCCTTCCTTGGTCTATAACTATAAACATCCATAACTAGCCAATAAATAACACTATTTGATGTTTTATTCAAATAAATATTTTAAAAAACATTTCAATTGCTTTCGTTACAAAATTTAAATTTTTCTAAACAGACACAATTTTTAAATGCAAATTTTGATCAAGTATTAGAGAGACAATTGATGAATCTAATTTTTTCAGTAGACCTAAAATAGTGATATACAATTAAACAGTCTTCATTTTACCTCCAAAAATCATTAAGTTACAAGTCAATAATTTTGAACAAAATTGGATAAATGAGGTATTTCCTGAGATAAACGAGTCTTGAGGGTGTTTTTTTTGGATTCCGCAAGTGAAAATCTATTGGGGTACCAAATTTTAGGAAATTTCTCCAAGCCATTATGAGGATACTATATGTCAAAGTTGCTTTGAAGTTGCTTCAGATAATCACTAAAATGCTGAGTCAGCATTATTTTAACTGACGATATCTCTGGGACCCATGAGTATTTTTAACTAAAATTTTTGCAGTTAGTATTTTTTTAATATAGACTGCAAGTAAGGTAAAAATGAACAAATTCTGAGACATAAGGGTGTTAAAAATTTTTTTTTTGGAGTGATTTCATATAGAATTACCCATTAGCAGACTATATTCCTAAAAAAAACTAACTATAACTTGAAAATCACTTTTTTGGGTGTGTATGTGTAAGACACTCCCAGTGGTGTACCCTCCGTTTTTTCCCAGTTGCCATGCAGGTGACTGAACAGTCTTTATTTCTTATTTGAGTTGTCCGCTATGATAATCAGTAGTCCGATGTAAAAGTTTTTTTTTTAGTATTTTTACTTGGGTGAAACTTAAAATGATAAAAATTTTATTTTATAAACTTAAAATGATAAAAATTTTATTTTATAAACTTAAAATGATAAAAATTTTTGTTTATGCAAAGCCGTGTACTTTGTATTTAAGGAGCAAATTATTATAAGTCTGTTAGGGAAAAAGTAAAAAAAAAACAAAACAAAAAACTTAAGACTGCAAAAGTAACAACTTTCTAGTCACTAACTGCATTATAAAAGTAATAAAACTATAATAGTGTTATTACTTTTATAAAGCACTTATAACTTTTAAAGTTCATTCTTTGTTCAAACAACATTGGTAATTCCAAACTTTAATAAAAGTAGATAAGCATCTAGAAAATATAAAATGGATGTTCAAATATTATTAAAAACTTTAGGAACATTTAAAAAAACCTTAAACCGCTTTATAAAAACATACTTATTAGTTGATTTTAAAATTAATGCGCATTTTTACGGATTATTAGTAACATTTTTCACAATGCTAAACTTTTTATACAGTATGTTTTTATAAAGTTGTTTAAGTTCCTTAATATATTTTAAATTTTATTTGAATATTCATTCTATATTTCTAGATCCTTTTCTACTTCAATTAAAATATAGTTTTATTAATAAACATACTCTTATAAGTAACAAACTGTCTGGTCGTCGATGCCTGGCTACTGACAGACTTTTTTTTTTAAATTTCAGTTGCCCTTGGAGAAAATGAGCCATCCCATGCCACCGGATGACCATGAGGGTACACCACTGACTGCCCCCTAAAATCCTCTCTGGTTGGATAGATCTTCAGTATAAATAAAGGTTTTTAGAAAGAAGAGACAGTGGCCCTAGGTCATGAATGAGAAATTCTACATTTAAATTGACAAAGAAATATGTACTTTGTTTTTTAGATTTATGCATTATTTTTACCTATTGTTTATATAGCATTAATTATATAAGTGATATAAATCAGCCATTATAAATATTTTGAGACCAATTCAATTGATTTGCTAATAAGAGAACTTGATGGTAACTATGTAACTCTTTCTGTTATCTCTTAATCAGGTTATAGCTCTAAATATCAGTTTAATGGTTCTTAGGTTGGCTGGTAGTAAGGTTTCCTCATGATTGCTCTAAGAGATGCTATATTTGATAACTATATATATTTAATAAACATAAGAGTATTAGACTATTAAAAGTATTAGAATATTACATAAGATTATTACTAGTCTGTAGAACTTAAAGTCTGATATAAGATACAAGATTTAGTAAACTGAGAATAACAGAGATCAACATCAGACAGACCTTTTTACATTTGCTTCTTGGAATAATAAAAGAAAATTGTTCTTAAGAGAAATGTTCTTGTAAAAAAAGATATACATAAAAAATATATATATATAATATATATATAAAAATATATATATTTAATAAAGCAACTGCTCAAGATGGTGAAAAATGTGGAGTAGAATGAGGCTTGACTTAAATTGAAGAGAAGGAATAAAAGCTTCCAAACTTTTAGTCTAGAAGGAACAAAAGTTTCTGAGATGTGCTTTATGCATACATATTATGGATATAAACATGTTTGCTATTTATTTAGATGCTGACATACAATATCCCTTCATTTTTAACATTTTTTAATAAACTTTAGTATTTGTAAGGTTATGTATTTGCCGAAAGAGAAGATGATCAAATAATGATCATGACGATGATAATAATAACGATGGTAATGATGATTATGATGATCATGCTGATCATAATATTTATATATGCATATATATACAAAATATGACATGAATTTTGAATAAAAAAGGTATACTTTAGAATGTATAATTGTTTATGCAGCCCTGGTCACAAACCCGGTCCCAGCTATATTTTATCAAACCAGGTCCTGGCCAAATAACAACTCGGGTTGCTTCCTACAACTCCTGGAGTACAATTTTTTACCATTACAAAAAATTTATACAAAAAAGGGATTGTCTAATGCTAAGGTCCATTATTCTCAGATTGTATTTTGTCTCAAAAACTAGACGCTAGATACTTATAGAAAATCTTTAACAATGCCATTAATAAAATTAACATTCCATCTCTTTTTCATTTCTGAAAAAAATTATTTCTTTTTAGCTATCCCAATGAAACAATGTTATACCAAAGAAACAAGTTAAAAGCCATTATTCCATATCACTTTTGCTAGACTTGTTGTCTAGACAACTTTTATGTAGCAAAAGTTCTTCAGAACTCTCTTTAATTCTCTTTAAAATATTCAACAAGTGTTCAACTGAATCTTGTGATTCTTCTCAGATTGCTCAGACTTCTCTAACTATTGCCATATCATTCTCCTTGCATATATGTATATATGTATATATGTATATACATATATATATATATATATATATATATATATATATATATATATATATATATATATATATATATATATCAGGGTGCTACCCAGCCTAATGGCTCCGCGTATAACGCGATATTCCCAATTAGTTCAAAATTCCCAAAGGTTTATAAGATCATAGTTAAAAAAAAATAATCAAGTCAGTCTCAGATTTAAAGTGTCGCACTAGACTAGTAAAACTTAGTATGCATGACGAAAAAATGAATTAAATTGATCAATTTTTTTTTATGTGTAAAAACGTGTCGTCATTAACAAGCATCATTAACCTTAACAAGACCATTCATTCAAAAGTTTAAAAAAAAATTTTTTTTTTAATTTTTATTGACGTCACTTATTCTCAAGCTCAGATTTTTCAATATGTTTAATAAATTATTTTATTAATTTATTTTTATTATTCAAAAACTCTTTATTTAGGTTTTTGCTGTTTATCTTAAGTTAGGAAAGTTACAAAGAAATTCGCATATTAATAAATATTATACTTTAAAATAAGTTAATAACGTTTTTATAATAAAAGATTTATTAATACTTTTGGTAAAATAAATCAGCTAGTAAAGTAAACTGACGATAACAACAAAAATAATCAAAAATAAAACTTGCAATGAAACATTATCTATGTTATATTTGCGTAAAACATAAAAGAAGATAATTAAATAATATTACAATATTATTAATTATTAGCCAATATTTATACAAATATATTTTTTTAATTTACAAATACAAACATTACGTAGATATTTAATGTATATTTGTAAATTAAAAAAATAATAATAATTTTGTTTTTAAATATATTTTTTATTTAAATACCTAATTTACTAGATATTTAAATATGCCGATTAAACTTTTAAGTATTTAAATAGTTGTATATTCAAATATATTTATTCAGAACTAATCGTTTAAACTTGTATTTAAAAAACGATGTACGCAATTAAAATAGATCAAGATTTCAATGAAATTTAATAATTTATTTATTAAAACTGCAAACAATTGTCTTTTGTTCTTGTTTTCTCTCTACTATACTGCAGCCATTTTTCAAAACGCCTTTAGGTAAAAAAAATCAATTTTGACATTTTTACAAAATATGCTAGTTTAGATGTCTACAAACGTTATTGAATACATATTTTTAAAGAGTTCTAAAAAAATTCATAAAAATTATTAATTTTAAAAAGCCTTTTGCAAAGAATTTCTCCTAATAATTTTTTTTAATTGCGCTATTCTTAAAATACGTAATAAGCATATTAAGGCGTTTTGAAAAACGGCTGCAGTATATCAAAAACAAAGAAAAGAAGCGATTTAAATAAAAACTTTAGAAGATTGCTCATAATGAAACAAGTTGATTAATTATATATATATATATATATATAATTATATATATATATATATATATATATATATATATATATATATATATATATATATATATATATATATATATATATGTATGTATATATATTTATATATATATTCAAATATTGAGTTGCTTAAATCTAAATAGAAACCAACCAGTGTATTTTTTTAATCTTGTTAATTTTTGTTTCACTTTTTACATTAGCCTTTTTTATTACTGATTTTATAAGGCAAACTATTTAATTTCATAAATTTAAAATAGTAAAATGAATAATTTTTACTTTTTTAAATAAATTTAAAAAAGTAAAAATGAATTCAAGTAAAAAAAACATTGCTATTACTTGATGTCTACACTACTTGGCTGTGAACATGCCATGTTACATTAATAGATTAATAGATTAAGTGTTAAAGAAAAAAATGCTCTTTTTGGTGCTGTACCTGAAGTCTGACCCTAACATTTCTTGAATTATCCCAAAACTTATTGATATATTTAACTACTTATTAAAAAAATTTATAAAACCCCAGAATTAATGTTATAAACATTTCAAAAAATTTAAGTTTATTAGTTTCTGATCTTACTTAGTATGGATCTTACTTAGTTTCTGATCTTACTTAGTATGAATCTTACTTAGTTTCTGATCTTACTTAGTATGGATCTTACTTAGTTTCTGATCTTACTTAGTATGGATCTTTTTTGCTATAGAATACTTTTGACTATTTAGCTTAAGCATATCTCATGAAATTGTTTTAAAAAGAAATATTTTGTAAATTTCATTTAAAGATGTTTAAATAATGCTTATTAGATTTCTCATTTATAAAAAGAAAACAACTAAAAAAATTTGAAGACCTAAAAAAATATTAAATATTAACTCTTAAAAATATTTTCTTTGTGATAAATATAAATTTAGTAATGTGTATGGAAGCTTAACATTTAAAAAGTATTATTACTTAAAAACATACCTGCCTTCGGATCAATTTCTTCTTCATCTTCAAGATATGGTTCAAACCAATCCCAAAATGTATTTGGATGTTGACAGTATCGAATAAACATAAAACCCATGCCACGAATGTACGGAGAATCAGTATGATTTAACAACACATAAACTTGTTTTTCAGTGAGTCTTAAAGTAAAAAGTTTGAATAATAAACAGTAACCACTGGACACGATACCACCTGCACCAACACCACGTACACCGCCGCACATTCCAACTTGACCATGTGTTTTTCGACTTCCTTTTTCCCATGGTTCTAGATGATCAACCTAACAATAAACCATTAAATTTTTTTTTAAATAATTTAAGTAAGAATAAATTACTTGTAATTACTATTATAGTATTGAATAAGTCACTGTTTTTATTACTATATAGTTTTAAAACATATTACATATTAAATATTACAACAAAATTAATTTTGATAATAATTAGTTTGATATTTATTTAAAAAAGAGATAAAACAAAAGATAAAATTTAAGAACAGAGCCATCTAAATCTTAATTGTGTTCCCTTGGAAAACTTTTTTACTTCTATTACTACTATTTAATTGAAAAAAAGAAAGTACAAAGATCCCAGTAGGAGAAGGACATGATTTAAAAGTAAAAGAGAGAAGAATATAATAATTTGTTAATTTAATGAATAATACAAATAAGGTAAAGTTTTGAAATATACTGAAAAATTTAGGTGAAAAAAATAGTTCTAAAAAGTAAAAAAAAAATATTTTGAGATTAAAAAACAATTACACAATAACTACATGAAATGGTGGAAGGTTATCATAAATTCATCTCATAAACTTAAATGATATTTTTATAACAAAAATCATGCTATTGATATAATGATAGCAACATAATGGTAACATGGTTATGACATGATGGTGAAATTAAACATGGTAATATCAACAAAGAAACAAAATATAATTTCTAAAATAAAAATAATTATTTGCTTGTAAATTCTTATAAAACTATTTTCAAATTTAGAGTACAGAAGAACTTCATTTTTTAAAGTAAATAAAAATTTCAATTGTAAATATTTAAACACCCTCGACACCCTTAACACTATATGTGTTACATTATGATTTAAACATCTAGCTTCAATTTTCAATGAATACAATGCTAAAACTAACATGAACAAAAAAATAATTATAAGGGGTGCCAAGATACATGAAGTAAATCTTCCAATTTGATGATAGCCTTCCAGCATAACACTTCATGTCATGACCCCAAGGTCGACATGGTCTTGCTTGGGAAAGTACAAACTGACCTTGTAGTAAATCTCATCAACCACTTCATGAAAGGTTTTCAACTTGAACAGTTCGTTCTTGAAATAAGGACTCGATAAAATATTAGTTACTACCAAATTGTTGATATTCATTGTTTGTACGTTTCCCCATAATGGCAGAGCGTTACCTTTCTTCTGACCTTGTTCGTCTTCTTCGTCAGACATCGCAAAATATTAATATAATTTAACTGTTTCCTGGTAAATAAAAATAGTATAAAAACACCAAAATAAAAAAAATTACCAAAAAATTAAAAAAAAAAAAAACAATAAAATAAAATAATAATTTTAAACTAACTGAAACGTTTGACGCTGTTACCATTTAATAACTTAGCCAACATATTTTTTTAAAGCTTTTTTGATTATTACTTAGATTTAGATTATTTGAAATGTACTTTTGATTGATCTAAAAGGTATCTGAAAAGCCTAATATCGCAATAGATTTAACTGATTCTAAATGTCTCCCAATATGAATACACAGTATATTAAGTACAAATTAAATAACTGATTATTTAGCATAACGTTTTTCTTAGCGCAAAAGCTTTAACAGATATTAGGCGAAACGACAATGCCACTGTGAAAAAATGGCAATGGGGGTGAGCATATAAATTATAAAAACAAGGCCCATTTTCTTCATTTAGTTTATATTTTAATGATTAAAATTTTTGATAACTTTTATTAAACTTATAATAAATATTGGATCAGAATAAATATTTTGATTCTTATGTTATTACAGTTTCAAAATAAAATATAAACATGGTTAATTTGCACCACACACCAACAATGCATTTCGACATTTTAAATAAGGAGTCATAAACATAACGGCTTGAAAAACTTTTAAATATATACCGCGGTTATGAACCTACATACCGTGCACATATGTCCACGGTATGTAGTTAGTTACATCATAGGCATAATAACTGTATTTTATGACTATGGTTACATACTAGGTTTGTCATAAGTACCTTTATTCCAGACGTGTAGTACTTATAAACTCTTGCATATGTTTTGACGCATATCGCTTTAAAATTTTAGTTTAATATTATAATATAGAGATCAGACAGATAATTTAGTTTAAATTATCTATCATATAATAATGGTAATGTTTTAATAATTATTTAACTAAATTTTAAAAAATATGATATATATTATAATTTAATAACATTATCAAGCACTCTCTATTTTTACAATTCTTATTCATCATGGGAAAGATCAACACAGAAAAGTATACCCGTTTACCTAAAGCATAGTATATGAAGAAAAGGAATGCTAAAAAATTGTTGACGGAATTGCAAAAAGTTTTTCTTATATTTTCATCAAAACAGTATAAATTGCGTAGTGGTGATGATTGATGCGACAGAATTGTATAATGAGTTATTTGCTTTTTTAAGAAAAATCAAGACCTATGTTAAGCTATCTAAGTGAAATGGTCTTGGTTCGTTTTTTATCTAAATGTGAACGGGGCATTGCATGTTTTATTTACACTTCCCATAACAGTTGCAAGTTCAGAGAGAAGAAAAACTCATAAAATCGTACTTTCGTTTTACAGTGCCTCAGAATTATCTACTTGGTTTGGCTAAAGTATCTATAAAGATAACGATTGTAGAAGTGTTCATATTTATAAAGCTAACGATTGCAAAAATGTTAGATACGATAAAATATTTGAGGCGTTTGTTTCTTCAAAAGTATATTTTCTTGAAACGAATGGCATTTCAAAAAAAAAAAAAAAATTTGTTGTTGCTAAAAATAATTCTTAAAATCAACTACGTGTCATGAAAACTTATAAGTTTTATAATGTTATCAAAAATTAAAAATTTTGTTAAAAATTTGTTAACTAAATACTTTAATTTAAAAATTTAAAATGCCTATAATTTTTTTGTGTAAAACCTATTGCCCTTATAAATGGGGAGCATTAAGTTTCATTCATCAAACTTTTGTTTCAAATCATTTTTTTTTTTTTTATTTTAAGAGAAAGTTAAAATTAAACTGCTTTAAAGTCAAGTTGCCACAATCAGTTATAAAACGAATTAATTAATTATTCAATTATTAAACCATTAATACGTATCCTTACAGTATATCAATAATAGTATACTAGTTTTATAACTTTTGTATATGAGACATGTAAGTGCATGTCATCTTTATCAGTTTTATTTTTAACTGCTAAGGTTTACTTTTTTTTAAATAAAAATAGTTATAAAAGTCGTTTCAACTTGTTGCTCCGCGCAACGACCTTGTACACGCAGCTCTTGTCCGGGCAGCATCTTGTAAGCTTTTTTTGCGTTTTGAACGTCCATGTGGGAGTGAATTTTAATCATCTATATATATATATATATATATATATATATATATATATATATATATATATATATATATATATATATATATATATATATATATATATATATATATATATATATAAATTCAAATATTACTTGTACAACTTATCGACATTAAAGGTTAAGTAATTCGTAACCAACTTTTTCGAATAAAATCTATATTTAATTTCTTATGCTGCCATCAAAAGATTATCACTTGGTGACAATGATCAGTACGCCAATTGGAGGTAAGCGGCTTACTTTTATTACACTGTTTTTACTTTCTGAAATTTTTAAATCAAGCCTTTTGATATCTTCACCAGGTTTAACTGAGTTATGGCTATATTTTCAACTACAATGCACTTATAGTTCACTTACTTGTGCGGTACCGGTTTTTACATCCATTTAAAACAATCATGACAACCATTTAAAACAACCATAATATTCATTTAAAACACCGCGACAATCAATTAAAACAATGTGATTTTCAATTAAAACAATTGTGATTTTCATTAAAACATTTAACGCATGCGAAATCTCAACATTCTATATTATTTTTAAAAAAAGGTCTTCTTTATATATTTATTTATCTTATATTATATAAATTTATTTTCATTAATATTATATTAATTTATTTTAATTTAATGGAATTTATTTTAAATTTGAATGGATGTCACGTTTGTTTTAAATGGATGCAAAACCATATTTTTTTACATATTTTTTATACACATACTGTATTGGCAAAACAACCATGATGTTCAATTAAAACATGCATGATGATAATTAAAACAACCATGATTTCCTATTAAAATATTTAGCGCATGAGGATATTAGATTTTCATTAAAACATGCAGCGAAATTCTGTTTGCCAAATTAAGCGAAAATTTGTTTTGAGATTGGTCGTTGATTGAAGAAAAATTTGATCTGAAACTTCATTGCCACGAAAAACTCAATCTGAATCTTCATGCCGCGAAATTCCGTTTCCCAAAACATGCGAGATGTTGTTGTAAATATAGTCGTTGATCAAGGAAAAACTCAATCTGAAGCTTCATCGTTAACAGGAGTTAATCGAAACACAATACAATCAATTTTAAGAAGGTACGATCGAACGAATTCAACACTTCCTGGTTCTAGAGGTGGCGCTCGTCACGTTATTTATAATGAAGAGATTAGAAGAAGAATTGAAGAGCTTATAAACGATAACACTACGACAACTATAATTGAAATTAAATATGCTTTAAATGTATATGTATCAATTAAAACTGTCTGGAGATGGGTGACCAATCTTGGATACACATATAAAATTACTCGACCAATTTATGAAAGAAGAAACAACAATGATGATAAAAACCTTCATACTGAATATGTTAGGTATACTTCAATCTCGCCTATTAATTGCTATCGAAATATTGTTTTTATTGATGAAAGTTCATTTAATTTACACATGTTTCGCAGTCATTTATGGGCAAGAAGAGGAGTAACACCAAACCCGATCATTCACCCTAGGCAACCTAATGTTTCGATGATATTGGCCGTCAATGGTTTAAATATTATTCACTGCGTAGCTCTCAGTGTGTCAGTCAACACAGTTTTGTTTCAAGAATATAATAATGAAGTTGTACGAGTTTTGGGGACAGAGGAAGAATTCACCCTGGTGATGGATAATGTCAGAATCCATCATAATGTTGAGATGAGGGCTCAGAACATTCAAATAAAATATTTGCCACCATATTCACCATTCTCGAATCCGTGTGAAGAGATTTTTTTTCATCTTAAGAATAACGTGCAAAGAAATACGGCCCCAGCTGGAAGAAATGAACTAATTTCAAGAATGCGTGAGGCATGCTTATCTATTCCAAATGTTAACTTATCAAACTATTACACACACTGCGAAAACTTTTTCGAAGCGTGTCTTAGGTCAGATGACATACCTCGACAGTAATTGGAAAATAAACTTATTTTAAATAAAATAAAATTTAAAATTTTTTTAAAAAATCGAATAAAAAAAATATAAAGAAAACCTTTTTTTAAAATAATATAGAATATTGATATTGCGCATGCGTTCAATGTTTTAAATGAAAATCACGATTGTTTTAATTGAAAATCACATTGTTTTAATTGATTGTCGCGTTGTTTTAAATGAATGTCATGGTAGTTTTAAATGGTTGTCATGATTGTTTTAAATGGATGTAAAAACTGGTAAATGTAGCCTCAAAGAATTTTTTCAGAACCAATTTCGATATGCGCTAGCAATAATAAGTTTATTGTTTGTTTTGTACTCTAATAAAATCTTTGATATAAATACAAACACCTCCTCTTCTGCTAAACCGAATCTTTCTGTACTGAATCCAACAATATTTTTTTCTGATGTTTTAGATCACCATGATTTAATAATAGTTACTAATGTTGTATTATACTTGTAATTTCCATTAAAAGTTTGTTTGGTTTGTTGTTTAACCCTTTAGCGCCCACCAAAGCCTAAATTTTTCTAAAAATTCGGAAACCTTCAAAAACCAACTGTTTTAGGACCTAGATTATGAATAAAATAATAAAAGCCAAAAATCTCACTTGCAAAGTCAATTATTTAATTGTAGCATATCTGCAACAATGGGAATATGAGGAATTAAATTATAAATATAGTTTTCTTTAAAAAAAAGAGATTATTTTTAAATTTAATGATATGGCATAATTGTATAAACATATTAGATTTGCGGTTGATTTTTTAATGTTGTCATCATTTTAAAATTATGTTTTAAACTCACTCAAAAAGGGTCCTTTCCACACTTACCGTGAGTTTAACAAAAGTTATTATAATATGTTAGATTACTCAAAAAGTAGAAATTTATTAGAAATGAATTTTTGCAGCCATCAATGTAGTACTATAAGGGTTAGTTTAAAATTATTCTCACTCTGAAATTTAAATCAATAATGTACTTATTTTGATCAAACTTTTAAAGCCAGTTTTCCATACTTATCTTAAGTGTTTCACACTTATCGTATATATTGTTGACACTTAAAATCTGCTTTAGTGACTGGTTTATAATGCGCTCGCGGTTTCAAATGAAAATTTAATGCATTAGTAACATTTTATTAAACGTTTTTAGGTATATAAATTAAAAAAAAAGACTATTAAATAAACACTAAATATATAGTAATGAAAATATTATTTTGAATTAAAACTAAAGATTTTTAAAGCATTTCCATTACTTTGGTACAAATCTTTTAAACTCTAAAGGTTAGAATTTCATCATAATTATCTGAGTCTTATATTATAATTATTGTTAACAATGGAACTCGTTTTCTGACTCAGTTTCAAGGCTTACTTTTACTTTTGCGACTTTCTTATTCTTTTTCAAAATTTTCATGTTTTCTCTTTCTTTTTTAGTTTTTTCATTTAATAATTTTTTCTCCATAGCCAATTGTTTCTTTCTTAATCTTCCTTCCTTATTTTTTGACTTTTTATCTGCAGCTAATTGTCTCTTTTTTATTTTTTCATTATTTAATTGTGACTTTTCTTGCAATTTTGTCTTTTGAATTTGCTGCCATGTTTTAAATGTTATAACCGATGGTAAACGTTCTATTTTGCGCTTGGACGTTTGAACTGGTTGTTTTGGCCATATTAAAACACTTTTAACTGGATTTATGATTTCTGCTGCTATTTTTAAACTAGAACAAGCTGGTTTTGGTTCCATTACCGCTACAATATTGCAATCAAGCATTTCCGTACCGGTTTTAACTTGCACATTTTCTAAATTACAAGTTGTTGATAGATTTTTATTACCCTGTTGTATTTTATCAGGTAAAATTGTGGTCTTATATGTTTCAGATGAGGCTCTTTTCCGAAAATGATACAGCTGGAGTAAATCAAGATCAACCTTTCCAACCTAAATGTTCGTCAGCTATTTTAAACTGCTCTAAAATACTTGGATCAATGCAGTTTTCAATAAAGTTTATAGGAGAGGAAGCGGATAAAGTCACACTTGATTGATTCTCTTCTAAATAAGGAGTCGGAGCCACAATTGACTCAGATAATCTTTGAACAATTTTTGTGTAGTCCACACTATTTGCATCAAATGGAAATATTCCGGTATTTCTAAAAGCACCCCAGCGGGCACAGACGTCAATCAGATGTCTTACGGACGTCTTAACTAGGTCGCGACGTCTCAGACCAAATTAGGACGTCCTAAAGACGTCCGGTAGAGACGTCTTTGTTAGGACGTCAAAGTGACGTTAATATAAAGACGATATTAGGATTTCCATATTTAGACGTCCTATTGACGTCGCTAAGACCTACATTAGACGTCCTAATTACCTTAAAAATAAGTTAAAAAATTTATATTAACAACTTGGCGCATACAATATTATGCGCTAACTCGGTTAATTAAAAATGTCTACTTGTTTTGGTTGATATTAATAATGATATTATTAATTTTGTTTAGTTATTTATCGTTTAAAAATATTTTTCAATTTTCTATATTCTATACTCTATGATCTATAAACTATAATCTATACAATTTTTAAATTAAAGAAAATTTAGTTTAGTTATTAAGTGTAACTAAGTTACAATTATAATGTATATATATATATATATATATATATATATATATATATATATATATATATATATATATATATATATATATATATATATATATATATATATATATATATATATATATATATATATATATATATATATATACATATACATATATGCAAAGATTTGTAATATCTTGCTGTAAAAATAAGTAAATAAATAAATTGTATATATTTTGTTGTTCACGTGTTGTTTCATTCAATTTGATGATTTTCCTTTGATGAATTTGATGAATTTGATGGGTTGTATATACAATTTTAAGATTATTACTTATGTTGATACCTCGTTACTGTATTGTTTCGTTTAATTTAATAATTGTTCCATTGTGGGATGTATATATAATTATCTATACATGATTTATACATTATATTATAATGTTTACATAATGTATACATATTCATTATATATATATATATATATATGTATATATATGTATATATATATATATATATATATATATATATATATATATATATATATATACACATATACATATACATATATATATATATATATATATATATATATATATATATATATATATATATATATATATATATATATATATATATATATATATATATATATATATATATGTATGTGTGTGTATGCGTGTGTGTGTGTATGTGTATGCTTGTGCATGTGTGTGTATTGATAAATGTGGTATACTATTCGAAATACAACTCTGAAAGGAAAAAAAAAAATTTTCTCCATCGATTTGATTCTGTTGAGTAAGTAAAAGCAACTTATCTAAAAGCGAAATTAAAAAGAAAATAAGGGAAGACAAATTTTGCATTTTTTCCGGATATTTTATTCAACCAACTTTCCAGATTTTTAAAATATGACTAGGATGATCTATGTTTGATAAATGTATATATATATATATATATATATATATATATATATATATATATATATATATATATATATATATATATATATATATATATATATATATACAAATAGAATTGCAATGTTCTTAAAGATCAGAGCAATCAGGGTTGCGTAGTCATAGAGTTGGAGTTGCAACATTGAAAGTGGCGTCAGAGTTGCTAAACAAAATCGCAATTCTGACTCAAATAGTTAAACTTCTCTGTATTGCATGTGCATGTACAATTTATTTAACCTTTAAACAAATTTTCATATATTTTGCAAAAAAGATTTTTTTTAATCATTGCATAATATTTTTTTAAAGAATTCAAAAAAATATTCAAAAAATTTGCTTTGCAGTCGGAATTGGAGTCAGAGTCGTTCTCTGAAATTTTTAGAGAAAATTTAGAGAACAACTCTCAGGTGTGTGGAGTTGGAAAAAAAAAGGTACTTTTTTTTTCCAACTCCACATGCCTAAGTAATAAATTTGCAACAACACTTATCTAATTCTCTTTGACAGCTTGATATATGTATATGTATATATATATATATATATATATATATATATATATATATATATATATATATATATATATATATATATATATATTTATATGTATATATATATATACATATATATATGTATATATATATATACATATATATATATATATATATATACATATATATATATATATATATATATATACATATATATATATATATATATATATATATATATATATATATATATATATATATATATATATATATATATATATGTATATATATATATATATATATATATATATATATATATATATATATATATATATATATATATATATATATATATATAGATATAGATATATATATATAAAGTAGCGATTCTTTACAGTTTTTAGCGTTAGACAAAAATCTTATTATTTTCTTGAACTTTACTTGTTTATATATTTTTTTAAGGTTAAGCATGAATTTTGAAATTTTTTGCATTATTAAGTTTAAATCTACCTCTTTTCAACCATGTATAAGAAGTACTATTTACTATTTTATGTACTGTTTATATTGCTTCACTTATATATTTTACTTTTCAGAGTTTCAAAAAAAAGTTATATTCCAATTTGCTGAAATTGACAACATTTTAGTGGATATAACTGCACAGTTCTCTAATGATCCAGAAGAAGGTTTTACACAACGTAAAATTTCAGATGAACTTAATGTTTTGAAAAGAAAAATTGCAAATATAGATATCCAATACATCGCTTTTGTATTAGTCAGTTTTATCTTTATAGTTTATATGTTATATATTGTTACAATAATTCTTTTAAATTGTCATAAACATTTTCAATGTTTCTTTCACATTGTTTCTTTTTAGGTAAAACAGTTATCATTAATTAGCGGTAAAAAATCGAGTAGATACAATTAAAAATATTTTGCTCTTGTAAGTAATTAGCAAAAGTTTGAATTTTAACATTTATGATTGACCGTACATTATTTATCATCTTTTTTATATATGTAGACTACCAACAGACACTATTTTGTCCGAATACAGCATGAATGGTCTAAAGAAGAAAAAAAAGTTTAAAGAATTGACAAGTCTATGTAATGCTGGTATTCTTATTTGCTTATTAATGTGTTTGAATAACTTTTAAAATTAAAAATGATGTTTTAATAAAATATATATATTTTTTTATTCTTTGGCTATGGAACCTGACATGTATTCAAGTATATTTTATTTTATGATCTTATTGAAATATGTCTTGTTGTTTTTATTAGAAACTGCTTTAAAGTCAAATAAAAACAAAATGGATGCCATCCATTCAACTTATTGGGAGAGTAATTAGGAATTCTTCTGACTGATTAAAGAAAACATCCACTAATATGAATATCGATCAATGATCGGCTTAATTAGCTGTTGTATTTTTTATTTATTTTCCATTTTTCAGCAATTTTCTTCTATTTATAATGCACTATCGATTATATTCTACAGTACCTAATAGTTTTTAATTTGGAAAGGGTAATTTTATTTGAAAAATTATTCTTATTTTTTGTAAAGTAATTAATTTATTTTAAATATATCAAATTACACTTTATTTACTTAGATTTCTTTTTATAACTTCCCTTGCCTAAATTAAGGAAAATCTAAGGTGTGTGTTGTAATTTATTGCGTTTTTATATAACTTTTAAAAGAATGTCTTGGTAATATTCAGACGTCTCTAGGACGTCTGAATAAGACGTCCTTAAGTCATTCATATGACACCAGTCAGAGACATCTCTAAAACATCTGCAAAAAATGTCTTTAGAACGTTTATATATATATATATATATATATATATATATATATATATATATATATATATATATATATATATATATATATGTATATATATATATATATATATATATATATATATATATATATATATATATATATATATATATATATATATATATATATATATATGCTAAGATTTGTAATATCTATATATATATATGCTAAGATTTGTAATATCTTTGCTGTAGAAATAGGTAAATGAATAAATAAATTGTATATATTTTGTTGTTCCTGTGTTGTTTCGTTCAATTTTATGATCTTTCCATCTCTGGTTGTATAAATAATTAAGATTATTTCTTATGTTGACACCAAGTTACTGTGTGGCTTAATTTAATTTGATGTATTATTATTTATATATACATGATTTATACATTAATGTTTATATGATGCATACATATTCATTATATATATATATATATATATATATATATATATATATATATATATATATATATATATATATATATATATATATATATATATATATATATATATATATATATATATATATGTATATATATATCAATATATATATATATATACATATATATATATATATATATATATATATATATATATATATATATATATATATATATATATATATATATATATATATATATATATATATATATATATATATATATATATATATATATATATATATATATATACATATATATTCTTATAAGGTTAAGCATTATTCAGTTTAAATCTACCTCTTCTCAACCATATATAGGAATTACTATTTACTACTTTATATACTATTTATATGGCTTTACTTATATATTTTATTTTTCAAAGTTTCAGAAAAAATTTATATTCTAACTTGCTGAAATGAAAAAAAATTTTAGTAGATAGAACTGCACTGTTCTCTAATAATCCAGAAGAAGGTTTTAAACAACGTAAAAGTTCAAATAAACTTAATGTTTTGAAAAAAAAAATTTGCAAATAGAGATATCCAATACATCACTTTTGTATACATGAGTTTCATCTTTAAAGTTTGTATGATATATATTATTACAATATTTATTTTAAATTGTCATAAACATTTTCAATGTTTCTTATACATTGTTTCTTTTTAGATAAAACAGTTATCATTAATTGGCGATAAAAATCTAGCTGATACAATTAAAAATATTTTGCTCTTGTAAGTAATTAGCAAAAGTTTGAGTTTTAACATTTATGATTGACAGTAGAGCATTTATCTTCTTTTTTATATATGTAGACTGCCAACAGACACTATTTTGTCAGAATACAGCATGAATTGTCTAAAGAAGAAAAAAAAGTTTAAAGAGTTGACAAGTCTATGTAACGCTGTCACTGGTATTCTTATTAGCTTATTAATGTGTTTGATTAATTAAAAATTAAAAATGATGTTTTAAAAAAAAAAAAAAAAAGTTTTTTGGCTCTGGAACATGACATGTATTCAAGTATGACATATATATTTTATTTTATGATTTTATTGAAACATGTTTTGTTGTTTTTATTAGAAGCTGCTTTAAAGTCAAATAAAAACTTAACCAAAATTGATGCTATCCAACTTATTGGGAGAGTAGTTAGGCATTCTTCTGACCGAATAAAGAAAACATCGACTAATATGGATTTCGATCAATGTTGGCTTAATTAACTGTTGTATTTTTTTTCCATTTTTAAGCAATTTTCTTCTATTTATAATGCACTATCGATTATATTCTACAGTACCTATTTGTTTTTAATTTGAAAAATGTAACTTTTTTGTTTGAAAAATTATTCTTAATTTTTATAAAGTTATTAATTTATTTTAAATATATATAATTACACTTTATTTACATTGATTTCCTTTTATAACTTCCCTTGCCTAGATTAAGGCAAATCTAAGGTGTGTGTTGTAAATCATTGCATTTTTATATAACTTTTAAAAGAATGTCTTGGTAAAATTCAAACGTCTCTAGGACGTCTGAAAAAAACGTCCTTAAGTCATTCATATGAGACCAGCCAGAGACGTCTCTAGAACGTCTTTAAAAAACGTCTTTAGGACGTCCGGAATGGACGTCCTCAAGCCTTTCATTTGAGACCAACTAAGGATGTCTTACGGACGAGACTTAAGACGTCTAACGGACGTCCTTAGGACGTCAAAATGCCCGCTGGGACTTTTAACATTATTTGCCATAGAAGGATCGATTATAAATGAATTTAATTCTGGTACATTTTCATTGTTTATTTCTTGTCCTTAATGGTCAATACGCCATCGTTGGCAAAAAGATTTCCACTTTGGTTTCATTGGCCCAAAAACTGCCACATCGAGCGGCTACAAAATATGTGTTGCATTTGGGAACAAAGCAACAAAAATTATTCCATTTTTAGAGCAAAACTCACTAAGTTTGATAAAAAAATGTGACGCATGATATCAAAAAAAAAAATAACTGGTGAAGGAATTTCTTCTTTTATCAAAATTGGATGAAAAATGTTTGTAATATACTCAAAAAAACATTCTGCGGTTATGCAACCATTTTCACTTTTTCCAAAAACCCATCCGGATAGAGCAGTATTTATAATTCTATTTGGAAGTCTATTAGTATTTATAAGTATTTATAATTCTATTTCGAACCTGTATAAAAATTGTTAATGATGGAGCAAAGGTTCCGCTGGCATTTACTAGAAATAAGGTGGTGATGCTTTTTTTATTACTTCGAGCACTTTCTTCATATGTATTTTTTCCTCGTTCACCAATTAATAAATTAGTTTTTGGTGACAACTGAAAACCACTCTCATCCATATTGAAAACGCGCATCAAATCATTTAAATATTGAGCGTTTTCTCCTAAAAGCTGTAAACCAATCTTTTATGGCTTTTTAAGTTATTCCTCCTTCTAGCTCGGTTTAAGTATTCACCTCGTTTTTGAGATAGCTAGTCGTGACAGCGAAGAAATGCATAAAACCAACCTTTTGCAGGACGGTTGTTAGTAAATTGTGTTTTTATATTTTTGGAATTCAAGTATTTTTGCACACTATCTTATAGCTGTACTACAGACATAGCAAATCTCATTCTGGTGCATGTTACCCAGTGGGCACGGACGTATAAAAGACGTCTTTTAAACGTTTTATACACGTTTTGGACGTCTTTTGAACGTCTTTTGAACGTTTTGGACGTCTTTTGAACGTTCAAAAGACGTCTTTTTTTGGTCCGGTGCCCACTGGGTAGTAACCACTCGTCTAATTTAGTTTCAATGTGTTCACCTAGTACTGATTCATAACCGCAGTTTTTTATCTTCAGAGAAGTTTTTTCAGATATTTTATCACAAAGCGTCTGATAAGGAATTCCAAACGTCTTGCTTGCTTTGTACACAACCATACCTTTTTTAACAGCATCAATAGCATCTCTTAATTGGCTATCTGTATATTGAAGTCTTTGTTTTGAGCTACATACTTTTGTTTTATATTTTTGTCTTGCGATTGTAAAAGAATCTAAGTAAAATATTTTTTTTTATGTAAAAAAGAACCAAGTTGGTTATTTATTGGACATACGATATGTATGGAATGACATTTTTTTTGTTTATACTTATCGTACGTTCAAAAATACTACATTGATACTATAATGATTAGTGGTTTTAATAATATTAATAATGATCCATGTTTTATTCACCATATTAAATCAATTTAGAAAAAAAAATTTATCTTATCTACTTAAATTATCTTGTTTTACTTGAAACGCTTCTAACAGCTGGTACTTAAAAAATAGTATTTTCATAGTCTGACGTAATAAACCTACTGAGTTTATATAAGTAACTATGTATTGCGGTTTCTATGTATTGTAATAGAAGTGCATGACGATGTTGTTGATAAACAAAATATATATATAAAAAAATAATTACTACTTATTGCAAAATTTATGTTAGTATTTAAAACCTACGATAAGTGTCGACTCACGCTAGGTGTGGAAACGACCCTATTTCATGCTAATTAAATAAAAAACAGTAAGTTTTTACAAAGACGCAGCAGGATAATGAACTCTTCCAATAGATGAGTACATAATTTCGTTTTTGTTTGTTTGCGGTTGTTGGCAGTGATTTGTGTTAATGTTTCTTCTTAATAGCTGCTATTTTTTCTTTTTTCTACTAATTTTACTTCTGTCGTAGTAATTATTATTTATTTACTTATTGGTATTTTTTTTTATTTTTACGATCGTTTCTTAATAGTTTAGATTTTTACCTTTCCACTTTTGTCATTTTTTAAAATTGATTTTCGGTCTTATTTATCCTTATTTATCTTTTATTATTACAATAACGGGAACGTTTAGACCATTTATAAACTTCAAGATTATTAATTTTTAAATACTAACATTAAATTGCAGCTTGATTAATATTGTTGCTACATTTTTTTCAGATTTTTTTTTTATATAAAAAAAAGTTTGTATTAGTAGGAGCACACAAGTGACAAGGTTAGAATTATCACGTTCAATCTCCAAACAACAACAACAACAACAACAACAACAACAACAACAACAACAACAACAACAAGATATTTATTTTCCTCAAAATTTACAATCATATAATTACAATAATATAATAATAATAATAACAACAATAATAATCATAGCAATAATAGCAATAATAACAATAGTAAAAAAAATAGGAATAAGAATAATATAATGTTATAAAAAATAATAATAAAAATAATAATATCTATAATATTATAAATGATAAAATCAAAATATAATTATTAAGAATAAATATAAATAATTGATTGAGGAGTCACTTATGCAGAATCCTGATCAAAG